CTTGGCCTGCTGTGTTCATCCAGCCCTGCACCTTGTTGTCTCGGGCTTTTTCAGCAACTTTGTTTTTGTTCCTGATACTCAGCATCCGCAGTTCTTTCGGTTTTTATTATAACATTCCTCCCTTGGCCGTCTCTTCGCAGTGAATAAGACTTCGAGAATTGATACTGACAGCGAAATGTGAAGACTGGCGCAGTTGGGCATTATAAATAGACGGGTTAATCGGGATGTTTCAGATAAATAAAACGGGTTGTAAAATTATTTCTGGTGGGCCCCATCAGAAGGACCTCTGACACTGCCATCTAGTGTAGCCGCTGATGGCTGGTGAATGAAGGGGGTCGGGGAGGAGTGCGAAAACCTTAATCTTATAAATTGTTGAAAAGGATCAACGGGAAGAGGAATTAAACATCTCAAAGTAAAGAGGCAAACTGCAGACCAGAGCCCTTTAGATTAACCAAATGTCTCTATCCATGAAACACAACATGCCCAGTTAAAATTATATCAAATACATTGTTTTCTGCAACGTTTGATATCTGTACCAGCCGTGAGAACCAGGGTTTGCCCCAGTGTCTGTGGTAGCAAACAAGAGGTTTCTAACTCTGTATGTAATTACACAGAGTTAGAATAACACACTAAACTATAAGTTGTTTGAAGTGAGATGTTGTAACTATTAACCTGTCAGATTAATGGAGATTTACCAAACTTCATAAACCGCCCTGTAATTTATTCACAAGTATTTAGATTGGACACAGTTGTGAAAGTGATAAACGCTTTTCGTATTTTTATTAACATCTGGATCGCTTCATTCTTCCAATTTATTTGATCATTTAAAAGGCAGCGCTTTCAGGAAGGGGTTATCTCTACCTTGCAATCGTGAAATAACTTTCATCTCTTTAAAAAAATAAATCTTGTAATTTACGGAAGACCTCGCTACTTTAAGATTGTGTTAGGAGGCGAATCGCAGAATTCAGCTTTTGAAGATTTGTCTTTGTTAAAAAACGACCCAAAGTATCCCAAATCCGGCGCGTGTCCCTTCACTTTTTCTTAGTATGTTTTATCCTTTGAGATCTTTCCCTGTAGCAGGCCGGCTCTCGGAGACATTATTTACGACTTTTCAAAATTTTCAACACCAAACCCATATGAAGGCTCAAATGTAAAGAGCCGTTTGATATTTGTTTTGGAGGGGAGTTGGTTATGAGGGAGACTGATCCTAGCGCAGGCTGACTTCTTACAATCGCAGTCGTAACTTTGTTGAGACTTTTAGTTAGCACAGTCCAATCCTTAGGGGGAAAGAAAAGAACATTGCACCTTCGAGACTGCGGAGATTTTTTTTAAATATAAAATCAAGTGAACACTTTCTCCACTGACAGTATTTTTAAAATATCGCAATCTGAACCCTCGAATGAGTTTGGACTGGCCGAGTCAACACAGCTCATGGATTGAATTTATCTCTTGTTTTCTGTTGCTGCAAAAATAACATTTTTAAAAAAATATTCAACTGCAGGCCCTTTGTTAAAGATAATGTTTATGGCAAAATAATCGTCAGAAACAGGTTGTTTTGTTGCTTTGTAGAGATTGGTGTGAATGTTACAGAGGAGTTTATTTTTGTGCTAAATTTATGCGAATTTCTTCCGCATCACCATGAGAAGTAACCAAGCGGATATGCTGAACTGTATTCATTTATCACCCATACTTCTCATGGTGATGCGGAAGAAATTCTCCCGGGTATGGTTATAAATGAATACAGTTCAGCATGTCCGTTTGTGAAATCAAATACAGTATTCAGTTGATTTCTAACATTTTGTAAACTCCATCCAGTTCCCCTTCAATTGGCGTAATATGAAATGTACATCGAAATGGAAGTGGACAGTCTCTATTTTGACTTCACTGACCATCTCATTTCCTTTCCCAGTGATTGTAATTGTAATTGTAATTGCAATTTGTACTTGTAATTGTACCGCATTCATCAGTTTACGGATGGCTCCTGTCTGTAAGGCAGGCGTGCTCGCACGGAAATCGCCGCTCCCGCTCATTCTTCATTCAGGAAACTGACATGAAATTGACGCGTGGGTGAGATAGCGATCCGGGGGGGTTCTAACACGCGTGACCGATTCACACCGGGTATCGGGAAGCACTGTTCACCTTCAAGTACAGACACGCTGGCTTTCCCCGCTCACTGTACATTCAATCCATCCTCACAATCTATCCCCGATTCGACATCGTTCTGGCAGGTGCCGGAAAGTCTTTCTCTCCACTGGGGAGGGACAAGGCAAGAGAGCCCACAACCAGATTTTGTTTTATTTTCAGTCGAACGATTGAACCTTTTCAACGAGCTCCTGGAAAGTTGCTCCAAACATTTGTCCAGCGCGTGGATAATTGACGAGTCTGTGGGACAGGCTGTGTTTTCCCTTCTTCATAATCAACGATTACATTAACCCGACACTTCTGTAATTGCTGCTTGTGGCTGCCCTGTGAGCGGATGGTTGGTGATACTCGACAGTGCAACATTATCCTCACTAAGACAATCGTGTGGGGAGCGACTCCCACTTGTGAACTCTCACCACAAAATATTTCCCAAACGTCTTGAATTCCCCTAATTTACAGCCAGAGTCTAAATACTCCGTTGGTTATAATGTTCCTTCTGTCAACCATTGATCTTTTTTAAAACGTTCATTGAATACCAAACGTTGCAAATGTTATCAGCTTTCATTAATACTTAAAGCGATGACGCAAAGCGATTTGTTCCAGTTCCAGTGGAGGTGTTGGGTATTGATTGTGGTGTGTGCTGTCTATCCCTGTGTCTGTATTTGCTTGTGTTTGTGTGTTGCCTGTTCCGCGTGGGTCTATGCTCTGTGTTTGTGTGTGTCCCTGTCCCTGTGTGTACCTCTGTGTGGGTCTGTGCTCTGTCTCTGTTTGTTTGTGTTGTCTGTCCCTGTGTGGGTCTGTGCTCTGTTTGTATTTGTGTGTATTGTCTGTCTCTGTGTGTGTCTGTGTTTGCTTGTGTCTGTCCCTGTGTGGGTCTGTGCTCTTTGTGTTTGTGTGTATTGTCTGTCTCTGAGGGCCTGTTTTTGTGTGTTGTCTTACTCCTTGTGGGTCTATACTCTGTGTTTGTGTGTATTGTCTCTCCCTTGTGTGGTTCTACACTCTGTATGTATTTGCTTGTGTCTGTGTGATGTCTGTGTCTGTGTTTGCGTGTGTCTGCGTGTTGCTTGTCCCTGTCTGGGTCTGTTCTCTGTCTTGTGTTTGAGTGTATTGTCTGTTCCTGTGTGGGTTCATGTTCTGTGTGTGTGTCCGTTGTACATTTGGTGAGGGTGAAACAAAATGGATCCCCGACATTCAGAGAAGTATTTTATTGATTTAGTTTCGCCCTGCGCATTGCGTTGGGGAAGTCATAGAAACCGTGGTCAACTTTGCGCTAAGCCCTCCCGTTCACTAACTATTAAAGTCTGAAGTTACAACCACGGCTGGGGGAAAAAAATCAAGTCAATACCGTTTTTATCTAGAACTGACAAATCACAGACTGATAGGATACGAGAGTTTGCTGATAACCTCAAAGTGAGCCGAAACTCGAACAGTGGAAGCTTTACTTTGCATTCTGTTCGATGTTTTGGAATGGCTTTTGATGGGATTGAGACGCAACAAGAACAAAAAAGCGGGAATCATGTGAATATTAATAATGAAAAACCTCCAAACACTGCCTGAAGCATTTAGTGGCGCTCCCGGAGTTTGTTTATTGTAAAACCAAATGAAGTAAGAACGCGTTGTATTCCCAGTCTGGATTATGGAGCGGAATAAAATGTGAACCGTTCACTCTTTAAACAGGGTTGGTCATTTGTTGTAAATGCTGAACGCTATTGAGATAAATAAAAGAGCAAATATTTCCTGGCAGATAAGCAATGAAGCATTCCGAGATCGGTTAATTACCCTCAGTCGGAAATTGTT